TTGACACCTAAGTGAGCTGCTCACACACTAAACTGTACAGGATGATAGATGCGGAGTCTTTGGGTGTTCAGAAAACAGACAGCTCAGCAGTTAAATAGTGTATACAGAAGGATGGGGAGAGGGGTGACTCAGACTCGTGAATTATTCTGGGTGGGAAGAAAGCACTACAGATGGAGAGAAAGTTGGTGGCTAGAGGGTCAAAGGCAATTAAAGGGAAGAAAACAATGTTTCTAGAATGTCTGAGTTTGTAACGGAGATTCACGCTTACACATAGTATTAACCACCACCAGGCTCCTCGCCACTTGGCCTTTATCATCCGGATTTAAAATACTTCAGGGACTTTTTTACAGCTTGTTTTTCTGAAAACATAAAACCTGAGTAAAATAACTCGAGAGAGATTTGGTCAACGCTGAGGAAGGCAGAGGATGACTCTCTGGCTAGGGTAGTCACGCTATTATAGTTTGGAATTGTTTGGATTTTTTCTGACTTAAGTCCAACTTGACGTCCACTATGCCTCCAGGTCAATTTCTCCCACACTAAGGAAACCTGGTTTTTCCTTCTTTTGGGTTAGGATTTATTAGCCTTGCTCACATTGCATTGTGTCGTTAATGCATCAAAGTCACCATATGTCCTATTCCTGTCTTTGAGGACATCCATGTTCTCATTTAGAAACTCAGAGCTGGTTCTTGGGGGAGCTTACAGCATTGTTGGGATACAATGGTTTATCCTTAGTCACTGGTTTATCTCGAACCACTCATGGCAATCATGGCCCATCCGGAGGGCTCTGCAGTGGTCTGTGTGCTCGCAGTAATATTAGAGAATAGGCTGGGATGGAAAAAAAAGAGGGTAAAGAAATGAAGAGGGAGAGAAAAAGCAATGAGAAAGCAGAGGCGATGTCTTAAGAAAAATGTGCTGTGGGCCGTCTGGGTGGCTCAGCTGGTTAGAGCGTCCTCCTGATGAGTCACAGTTACGGGTTCAATCCTGGGCCAGGGCACACACAAAAGTCAACCAATGAGTGCATAAATAAGTGGAACGGCAAACCAGTGTTTATCTCTTCCTCTCTCTCTCTCAAATTAATAAATAAAAGAGATAAAAAGAACGTGCTGTGGCATAGCACTGCTGGAGAGGCGATGAGGCTCTGCGTTCTTAGGACCTATTGAAATGTATTCTTGTGCCTCCTGGTGCTGCCGAGTTTCCCCTTCATCTGCAGAGCATGTGCCCTAGTTTGTTGTTGAGGCTGTCACATAGGGACAGAATCAGAAGCCATGGCAAGGCACAAAGGTGACATTGGTCATGTCCTGTCTGCATGGAATGCCAGGTATCAAAGGAGGAATCAAATGGGCATGATTTAAAAATAGAGAGGACCCAATGCTGTTGATGGTCTGGGGCATGGTAAACAAGTTTCATTTGTTTCCACGAATGGCATTTGCTGTTGAAGCCTGTGCAACTGGTCACCAATTTGTCCTTGTTTCTAATTTGATGGCATCTGTTGCTCTGAATCTGTGCTTATGGTTTTAACAGAAGATTCACCTGTGAACGAGTGTTATGGTCAAGGTCATCCAAGATATCGCTACACTCATATAGAAGAGGGCGGTAGAATGGAGGGCAGAGGCTACGTACAGCTTTGTGGGTAAATCATGGCAAAATTGGGCGGCAAAACAGGCCCTAATGAGAATGGAAAAGGCCCTGGTGAGGGATGGGTGACTTCGAGTTGGAATGGAGAAACTGACGGGACAGATAGAGCAATGGGAGGGCACAGTTCGAGGAGCCTGTTGTCCTAATCAAAGTCGGTGATTTTCAAATTCTGAGTTTCTCATCTTCACTTCAGTTACCAACTTTGTAAACAGTTGATCCACAGGCGTTTCTTTATAAGAAGCAATCCACTCTAGAGGTGTGTTTTAAAAAAAAATCCATGGTACTAGAAAATGGCCATCAGAAATATCATTTGACAATTACCTGGGAATGTCTTCCATTGACTGCATCAGCCCCGGAGCTAACAGCACCTGCTACTTTATCTTCAAGGGGCACAATCTGCCTCCAAAGCTATTGTGGGTCAGCGAAGCCAACACAATCTAGGTTGTGCCTAGGTGCTGCTGCTTATCTGTGTAATTATGAGTAAGCCTTTATTTGCTTTTGTCAACACTCTTTTCCTAATCTCATGCTCAGAGGGGTAGTATATACGGAAAGGAAAGCAAATGGTCTTTTGTGAAAGAACTTGGTGGCTAAGTGCTCATTATCTGGTACATGATTATCACCTAGCTTCCTTCAGTTTCTTCCCCCCTTTTAAACACGTTTACAGTGCAAATTCTTTCAGTAATGGGAATAGTACTAGTCATGCTGTAGTTGCCTATGAATATTTCAGACAGAGAAGAAAAGCATTGGCTTAGCTCCCAAATGGTGTCCAGGTCTTTTAAAAGCCTGATCTAAAGAAACTTCAGGAGTCTCAGTCTTCTAAGTCCCAGGTTCCTGGCAGCACACAGATGCCCCACAACTTCACACTGAATTGTTTGCACTCTCTGGCATACAACAGGCCAGTGAATCCTGGAGTTCTTTTGTCCATGTCACTTTCTCAAGACTTAGCTCAGGTATCACCTTCCTGCACAAACCCATCATTTCCAAACCAGTTGAGCTAAGGGTCTTCTGTCACAACCAGCTTTCTCACCCAAAACAGTGTGCTTACACCTTTTCCCAAAGCAAGGATGATCCCATCTTACAGTGCCTGGCACAGTGCCTGGCCCAGGTGGCAGCTGCCCTAGGAACGCTGACCTGAGTAATAAGACCACACTAATGACTGAATTTGGGACTTGTGATGGGCTACTAACCATTTACATCTGATGAGGAAAAAAATATCCAGTTGTCCCTTCTCTGTGCTCTGTAGTACTATTCTGCCTCACTGTACTGAAGCACTGAGTAATACAAGGCACTTTCACCATCGTTTTGACTCTAGGACAATGCTATTCAAATTTGCAAACAGACATTTTAGTGCCAACATTTTAATGACATGCCAACACTGATGGGGAGATGGGGAGCATGTCGATGTTGAAGCCAACCTGCAGACCACTGGTCTCCCCACCTGCAGCAGGAGCTAGAGGGAGGGCTCTTTTTTAGCTTAGGAAGTACATTTTACTGCCCAACTAAAGCAAGCTGGCAGGACTGAAGGAAGAAGTGGTGCCCCAATGAAGACAAGGCCCTATAGGGTTGGCAGCAGCAGGCAGGGGGTATAGAGGCATTAAGGAAGATAGGAGTTACTTCTTAAAGTGAAGGTGGCAAAAACAGGCACATCCTCAGGCAAAGTTCCCCCACCAAGACAGGTGCCCCAGCTGCACATCAGGTGTGTCCAGCCAGCATGGGCACCAACTGTGCTGAGAGCCTCCGCGGCACAATTGCAGGGGTGAGGGTGTCACCTACCCCCTGGTCTGGCTCCTCTGGGTGCATGGGCATCTCTGGCACGCCTGTGACCCACCATTACAAATGCACAGCACCCAGGGCTTGCTCCCTGGGATGACCACTGACCCTGCCCTCTTCCACCAACCATGGGGGGGCCACAGCACAGTCGTTCCTGCCTCTCAATCCGTCTTGCATTCCATTATTGATTCAGCAAGCCCTTGGGACACTGACAGAGCAAAGTTGAGGACATGGGGTCCAAGATCTGAGTGCACACGGGGCATCAAACGTTAAGTCCCACTTCTAGACGTGGAACAGGAGGGCAGGGTGGGTCAGTGACTGTCGGCTAGCAGGTAAGAAAAGAGTACAAGGGAAAAGACACCAAGCCTCCATGGCAGCAGCCTAGACCTTTTTAGTTGTGTTCAGAGTACAACTGCTTGCATCCCCATTAGAATGCTATTAATTGTCTTAGGCAACAGAGAGCTGTGGTGGCATACATCCACTTCCTTTAAAAATACTCTGCAAGCCCAGCGAGCCCGGCTTAATCGGGTATTAAGGCACACCGACCTGAGTCCCACCCTATTTTGTACAGGGAATGAATGCTCTATCACCAGTTTTTCTTTTTAAGGACTGGGAGGCTCAGTGTGTGTGTTTGGTTTGAATGTGGGGAAGTGAGAAGAGGCAGCTGCAGCACTTTGTTCCCTGTTGGTGGAAAAGAGCCAACAGACACAGGCCACAACCACAGGCAAAAGGTTAGAGAAACTTGTTATTAAATTTAATTTTCTTTAAATACATACTTCTCCCACCCTCACCCGTCCTGGGGAGGAACGGAAACCCCCACCCCCTCCACTCCATATATAAATCCTGAGCTGGTGAGGATGAAGTATAAAAATACTATTTACAAGGGGGATGGGTCTGCTGCTACCTTAACCTTCAGACAGCCCCATCCCCAGGCCCCTTTTGTTCCTTTAGAAAAAGCCCCTGGAAATCCATGAGTGTAGAACAAGCCCTTCTTGGGGGGGG